ATTTTACGCTGTCCGTGCAAATGAATGATGTATCTAAAAATTTTACTGTAAGCGCTATTTATCTTCGGATGTACACAATTTTTATGCAGTCTTCTTTGAACTCTTGAATTTTATAAAGTAATGTATTAAAAAGTTACTTTTTCTAATTACTGTATAACAACTTGTACAAAACACCTGTCGATTGTACAACAAAACTGCTTTTTATTCGTGCGCAGCGTACTTCATTTACATTAATCTCAATCGGTCATAACTGTTGAGCCAAAACAATTAAAACAGTTATAGTTTTTTTCTGCTTGCGCTGCACTGCTCTGTGTTAGCGAACAAAAAAAAAACAGAATTCTAAATTGTTGTTAATAAACCATAAGGTAAGAGAGGTGCAAAAACGAAGTAGCAAAAACATTTCCCCTTTAAATGAGCAAATAATTAGCCCCAAAATATTTGTGAGATTTTTTTGTAAGAACAAAAAATTTATTACATTTGCCATTAAAAGTAGTAGTAACCAAAACGATTCAACAAGAAATACTATAATAAAGAGCGTAATAACAACGATTATTTGAAACTTCCAGTTACTTTCGGTAATTGAATTTCTGAAGTAATCAAAAGTCTACAGGCAACAATATTGCCTCGACGTTCTATTATCAAATAATAATCCTATGCTGCACTAATCATCGACCAGTAAAACAGAACTAAGCAAATGCTGTACATTCAGCATCATCTGAAAACACGTCTGATATGGTACTGTCAAGAAACAGTGCAAACTCTTTTTCTGTCATTTTCTCGTCTTCAGAAGTTGTACTTTCTGATGTAGTTGGCTGTTCCACTGGTTTCGAAGTAGCTGTCGTTGTTTCTGTTATCGCTACTGTAGTGGTTGTAAGTTTCGTGCTAACTGCGCTTACACTACTCGTCTCTACAGCTTTTTCAGTTACTTTCTAAATTGAATGGCATGTAAGAAATCAACAAGCATAACCTTACAGACTTTGCAGCAATCATTTAAAAGTAAAATTTACCATGTTCCACGTATGATACTGGCAAAGAGATTTCAACTCTTTCAAAATGTGTTTTGGAAGCCCAGCAAGAAATTCCGTCTCCTGCAAAAAAAAATTTAACTTAGTTTTTTACTCAAGAATATAGCATAAAATGACCTTTTCAACATTTCTTCTTCGCCCGTAATCCTTCAAAAAAAGCTCTCTTTGTTTCTAGGTATTGTGTAGCAGTAACCTTGAACTTCAATTCCTTCCATTTTTCAAGAGCATCTCGAGCATCTGGCGACAAATTAGCCACTTTCTCTGCCAGTTCTGTTTTCCGATTTTGGAGTTCTTCTTCCCATTTGTAGAATAAAGCGAGCTAAACAAACATGATGAAATACTTTTTTTAGTAACAAAATTTTATCTGAAACAGTAACACTTTTTGTCGCTGAAATTTGAATACTTATTCCAAAAGATAAGTTTCAAAATACTAGATTCTGTAGCAGTGGTAAAACTAGAAACAAATTTAGTCACCGATTCTCCCCTCAGTAAGGAGAAAGCAAGTTTTTTAAGCCTTAGTTCCTTCTGCTCAATTGTTAAGCGGTGATTAAACCACACATTGCGAAATTCATTACGTATTGTAGCCGATGAGTTACGCAAAAATGATGGACCACAGCGACCGGAAAATATCCGATGCCGTACTTCTTCCGGTAAGGAATGAACTAAGACCCTGAAAAGGAAAACAGACCCGGTTTTACCGGAGTGTCTCACTTATAGAAAAACAAAAATGGGATTTCACTTTCCTTTTTCAATAATTTTTGAAACAAAAATCCGTTTCATCGTTACGCGAACTTTAATTTGCATTAAAGAGAATTGCAGGGCAAAAATGCAAATAATTGTTCCATATAAGAATTTACTTAGTGAGTTGATGTTCTTTACCACAATGCAGTCCACCTTTAAAATTTTTCCATATTTCCTTTACTTCTTTTGCTGCGTCAGTTGGCAGTTCATCTACGAATGACGGTAAGCCACATGGAGGTTTCTGTAGCTGAGTAAAAGTTTAATCTTTTCTTTAGTTAATCACACTAATTCAAAAAAAATCTTCACTATGTTTTCAGTAAATTCAATTTCTGCGAAGCAGTTGCATGAAACAACAACAGTAAATTATTACATGTCGAAACCACGGTCCAATTGGATTAAACGGGTCGTGATCAACGGGATAAGCCTCAGAGAGGAAAATAAATGCAAAAACTGTGGCTAAGAACATCTGTGACAGTTCTAAATTGATAAGCAAAGATTATTCAAGCTGCTTGTCATTAGTCTATTGTGACCAGACGATCATTATTCCCAAAACAGCAAAAATCAAAAATATTTTTTAACAGAATCGATGATTATTGGTTTCAGATCTTTTCAACTCAACATAAAATCCACGTTGAAACATTTGAGCATGAGAAACAGCAATAAAGTGTTGGAACATTGGAAAAGTTTATATATGCTTAACAGATACGTAATTCTTACAGTTATTTCAGAACAGTGTAGAAAACGGATTAGAAATAGTTAATAAAATAAAACTTGCATTCTTTTATTATCGTGAAAATTCAAAAAGGCTAAGTGCAAGAAGTTTAATTTGATCAGGTCAAACAGTGCTGTAAAGGTGATGTTAACGAATAGCAGTTGAAATTGAAGATTTACCCGACCAAAATTATTGGTACTGCTGGACAATGAGTATCTGTGAACAGTGCGTTGAAACCGCAGACTAAATACGGTTAGACGACTCTCAGTATGAATCAGCTATGTGGGTTTCGCTGTTGCTGTAATTGATTTTATACAGATTCTCCGACGATGACCAACAACTCATTGGCTTCGGCAATGTTTATTATAAAAAATCTCTTTTGTTAACAACAAGAAACAAATACAGTGGTATATTGCTGCTGCTATTACTGCTGTTTTTGGTGCTAGAGAAAGGGGTATGCAAAATCAAAACCAAAAAAAAAATTTTTTTCAATTTCTCAATACAATTTTTTTATGTTACTGATCTTGAAAACACTAATTTAAAATGAACTCAAAGTAGGGACAAACAAAGAAAAAAAAGAATAAAAAAACTCGATAAATTCCAAGAGCATCAAAACAATGAAGCAACATAAAAAGCCGTCCATCCATATTAATTCTATAAATTCGTCTTCGTCAACTTACACTGCTGTCGCTACCAACACAAAAAAAAATAATAAAAAAAGGAAAAAAAGGTAAGCTAGAAAATGTAAGCTGATGTGTAAGTCGTAACTTTCTGTCTGTTTGTTTCAACTGCATGTCAGTATTTAATTTTTCTTCAATTAATAGAAAATTGTGCTGTTGTATTCTTATCATCTAAAAAACGTTAACAAAAAAAAAATCCTAATTCAGCAACTGAAAAAAAGAGTGCTAAAGCAGATTTTATCCATCAATTTAAAAAAAAAATTCTGTATATCTGAAGATAAAGACTGTTTGTTTACAACTTTAATTACAATTTATGCTTTATAGAAATTGTAACCTTAAGAATCCAATTTACTACAAATGTAAACAGCTCTTATTTAATACTAATAAGCTTTATTGATTAAAACAATTAAACAAATTTCTTAACTTTTTTTCGATCTTTTTTCTTCTACGAATTGATATTTTATTGAATTTTAACATTATACTTCAATCATTCTTACTTTATTATTTTTTTATTTTTGTCTTGTATATCCAACAGACACCAAAATAAAGATAGCACAGCAGCACAGGCAACTACGATCACCGTTCAAGCAGTGCTTTCTACATATTTATCAAACTTCGATATTCTCCAAGAAATATAGAAAATACTTGTTGTTGCCGTTGTTGTTATTACGCCGATAACTTTTGACACCGGTTCTACATCTATCTGTCTATCTATCTATCTGCTTATCCAACAATCGGTTTATTTTTCTCTACCTTTTTTCTTTCAAAAAAAAAACTAGGCAATAAGATTCATCAGTTCGTTCGATTACCTGTGTACCTGACTGATGTTTGGCACCAAAAAACATGAAACTATAGTGTCGATTCACGAAGATACCAATAGAAATAAAGCAGGAGCTTGTATCAGACGAACACTGTAAAGTGGTGGTGACGATGAAGTTGATAAATATCGAACACATATTATTATCTGTAGCGTGAAATAGACTGAAACAGTTTTTTTTAATGCATTCTGGACCAATTCACCAGAACACTTTGGTATTCCGATACTCGTGACTATTGCTTTTTTTCGTTTCGTCTTTTTGGAAGACTATAGAAGCAACAACAGCAACAAAAGAGGTTTCGTTAGTTATTTGTATCAGAATTACTACTACTGAAGTTGCGAGGAAGAGCCTTTTGATCTTTAATTGCACTACAAAAGAGTTAGAAGAACTATTCAGAAAATACAACAAAACAACAGCTTTAGCTTTTATTCTTTACTTTGACTGATTTTTCAGAATTCTAAATTTACCCAAGTGGGTTACTGAAAAAAGCAAAAAGAAAAAAGACAAAGAGTGAAAGATCGGCTTATGACGAGAAACTTTGTCATCCAAGAAAAGAGCCTCTTTTTCGGTTAGTTTAAACAAAAGATAAAACGAGGGTGTCTTTATTTTGCTTATAACATTACGGCAAAAAATTGAATTTTTTTTCTTTTTTTTTTATCTTAACTATACGCATGCAAAAAGCGACAACGTATATCGTGCCCAGCAGCTTTACTGAAATACTTAGAGCAACATTAATAGCAACTTCAAAAATTGAAATTTAGTTTTGCTGTTTCAGATGTAAGTCAACAAGAAAGCGAAAGCAGAGGTTTCTCTTGCTGTGTGAGGCTGAGGCATTTGTTCCGAATACCGCATTGCTCTTTGTTATAATTTGTTAGTGCTTTGAGATTTTCAAACTCGTTGGCTGCTTTTTCGTCACATCTAATTGACAACTAACCTAAAAATATACACTGGAAACCTATTGATCATTAAGTTAAAGCGAGGATTTCCTCGTTTTTAAAGTTGGTCATTAAACACAAGTCAGTATACCAGATTTTACCTGAGCAGTTTTGTGCAAAATAGGTAAAAAAAATCTACTAGACAACTTTCAGCCGTAGGGTGATGAGCAATGAATAAATTTGTCTGCTTGCTTAAATTTGGTTGCAACTGTTTTGCAACGAACAGTTTACAAATATTTTCAAAAAATTCGATCTCAAAAACATTGTTTTATAAACTAACCAAGTGTTGCTTGAACTGTAATTAGTCCAATGCGTCTAAAGTAAAGCTATATTTTTTGGATTCTTTTTAAAGACGAAAATATGGTTTTGCAGTCGAACGGTATTATCATTTGATTGTCTATGTAATTCTTTTACCCATCTTCTTTAACTTCTTCCTCTTCGCTCCCTCTCTCCTCCAAAAAATGAGTATCTTGTGATAAACAAAGGAAATTTCTGATCATTCTTGGTAACCCTCGTCAATTTATTTAGAAAATTTGTTTTCTACACCATTCACTGTTGTATTTTTGTTAGTTGGCTTAGTGGCGGTACGTTCGGAGGTATGATGAGATGCGATAGGAAGAATTGGGTACGATGGGATAGAAAGAGAAAAATAGCAAATTCAATTAAGGTATAGAACAGTTATGAAATAGCAGCACAATGCCAACTGCAAAAATGACACTCAAAAACCAATTCTTTTTTTTTTTCTTAACCGAATTTTTTTTTACTTTTATTTCTTTTATTCTATTTGATTAACTTTACCTTTTTTGTATTTTGTGCTTTTTCACTGTTTATCGTATGCAAACAACACCACCTTTAGTGTTTATTTATGCAAATTTTCTATCACAATATCGTTATTCGCATATTTTACAAGAAAAAAAAGAAGAAATTATATAAAGAGAAAAAAAAGAGTAGTAGAAATTATTTGTGGAATAAAAACAGCAATAATATTAAAGCTTACTTTTCTTTTTCTTTTTATCTTCTTTGTTTGCTTAGCAGTTAAAAAAATGTTCATTTTTTTATTATAAACAATTTTTTTTAACTATTGAAGTTTGATAAACAAAATAAAGTGTTGTTAAAGAAGACCAGATTCAGTTTCTTTAAGAGAATATGAGGTTTATTTTTTCATTCATTTAATATTTTTTTTCAGTATGCAACAATTAAACTTCACTGTCGTTAAAATGTTTTTTT